CCCATGTGGCAAAGGCCTGACCATGACACTTACTCAGAGGCTTTAGCCTTGAATTAGTCACTAAGACTCAGGGGAAAGCGAATAACGCCTTGAGTGGCACAGATGGTGTGGCAGAAGTCGAGTGAAATATGTGAACCAGGGAGAGTGCAGACGGATCTTACAGGGAAAGAGAGAGACTGTGGTAAGATGTAGGGAAGGCGGACAGCGTAGCAATATGGCAGACTCTGATCCACATTCCAAGTACAAGTATGAAGAGGGTGAGAAGGCTAGCGTGGAGTGCGGAGGGCTGTCATGACAGCCGCTCAAAAGGGCACAACGCACCATATTTAATTCAGCAGTAAAAAATTGTGACAGTGAAGGCGTGATAGGAGGATATTGGAAATGTGAAAGGCCAGGGCAGAAGGGGAGATGCTATAACAGTTTAGCACACGTTTGGTCAAAGGATCGGCTTCACTTGCCTCTCACGGGTTCTAATATGGTACTACGAATGGCAAAACTCACTGACGTTGCCGACTACGATGCCGGCGAAACGTTTGTGTACCACGTCCACGGTCCGACTTTGTAAATGATTATGCATACAATGGACTCCGGACAAGGTGCGTTCCTCGAAGTCTTCCTACCAATATGATCGAGTTGCGAAAACAAGGTTAAACAACTTCTATACAACGAAAGAAGACTGCGACCATACAAAGGGCCACACTATCCTGGTCTTCATACCTTCGACTACATAATCTATACCTATTCCAAATCCTTTTTTCATCTGTCAGCATCCTTGTTCTGTATATATTTTGTATAGAAATTCGAACCATGGCTGGCTGGTCACGTGCCGATGCGATTAATGCTGTGTATGGTTCACGAGTTACTGGTGGAGGGCAAAATATGGTGCCTTTATCAAGCGCCCAATGCGGAGTGGCAGAATCTTCTCGGCTGGCAATTGAACGCCTTGGACTGCGCTATGAGGGTCTTCTTGCGAACCCCAGCCAAATAACCTCTGGCAAGCTAGAAAAATATATAATACATTCCATTATTTCCCTCTCATCCGTAATATTTTATGCGCACTTTCTTACTAACTTGTATTCTGATTAACTTTCTCGACCTCTTTAAAATCACTCATACGCATCTTTTATGAAATTACGTCCCATTTCGAAGGAAAAGTTGGTTGGAATGAATTCGTGAAATGAACTCTGGAATCGAAGGATTGCTATTGAGTGAAGTATTTTGGATTGTGCGAAGAAGTCCTCGGCTCACCGTCCTGCGACCCTGATGAACCTGTGCTAAGCTTTCGTTTGTACTCTTGCAGACATTATTAGAGCAAGGATACATTCTTTACGAAAGGAGCTTAATGACGCATCCCATGATTTTGTTGGCTATTTCAAACTTACTCTATATGCTTGCAGACCGTTGAAGCTAATTCATGAACCGGAAGTGGATTCGGTGGCAGCTGCTTCCTTACCTAAATATAATAGTGTACAATCCGCTAATGCTGACTTGACTTTAGATACATGCTATTGTCTATTGTCTGTATATAATGTTCATGCACTAAGTGGTATTATAGTCCTAACTAGATTCGAGGATAATCCAGCCTTCTTTTGCTCTGTTCTTCCAGATTTTCTTCTCAATCCTATTTAACATTGCGAAATAGTTACTACTCAATTTCCCGCATTCGTTTCTCCTATTCAAGATTTTTGCTGTTTTGTTAACTTCTATAGACTCTCTAATCTTACGCTTTGATGTTAAATTCCATAATAAACAAAACGTTGTGTTTTGGACCAGTATTGAGTGTCCTATATTAGGCATGTGATCAGCGAGCTCAGCTTTTTGTATCCATAGACCTATATAAACGGTTTTGCATTCGCATATTATCTTCTGGGTAGGTCAGCAGGTCTCCCCTACATTGACATTACAACATGAACACTAAAACATGTAGTAGCCTGATGTAGAAAAAGGGTCTGAAAATTGTCGAAAGAAGATAAAGTAGAAGAAAGTGTTAATTTCTCAGTATAGATCTTTCTGATATCCCATTTCCACACCACCACACCCAACATTTTCGTAAGCTTAGAGCAAGGCAAAATCAGAAACCTAGCAGATATTACTCCTTAAATAACCATTTCCCCTCATCCTGTTATTGAGTATTGAAATGGGTAATTGTTTTGCAACAATATATGCCTCATTCTATAGATTTCCTGGTCTCTGCTATTTACGTATTCCAGACGAAGACTCCTTATTGTCATTTATTTTTTAAGTCACACTTATAGGTTAATCGAAGGTATGAATACCAGTAGGTGTGGCCCCTTCTATTGTCAAGGTCTCCGTTCGTTTTTGGCGAATTTACCGGGGCGTCGTCTCACCTGCTGTTTGTCTTGCTCCCCTCTTCGAGTGGCTGATCCTGCTCTAGTCCCCTGTCCGGATCCGCCTCATGAGCCCGTGGGTCCGTTTCTGATCTTTATAGTTGACCGATTCCACTCGGTTCCAGCCCCAGCGTACTTTTACTCCAAGTGCTATTTCTCAAGCCTTCAGTAGCACGTACAAAGTCGCCTTATCTTCAAAGCGCCTGGGCTCTGATTCCCATGACTGCGGAGATTAGGCATTACCTTCACGCATTATCTCCTAGTTTAGGCCCGTGTACCCTGAGCAAACCGTGGACATCTATCTCTGGTCGCCTGCTGCATCTCAAGTGAAATATTAGCCCATTTGGTCACAATGCCCGATTTCTGTGGCCCAATCCCTTTAACTAGTCTAGTGAAACGTCGGGCCCCAAAATTGTAATTGCCTATTCGCTTCATTTCTATAGCCTCCTCACCCTTTTCGTCCTTACTATACCTTTTCCTCTGGTTTACGATAGATACTTGAGCAAGACGTCTCCTTTTTGTTTGTCTTGTTGCATCCTTGTTTTCTCCGAGTTTATTAGGCAAATGGCAATAGGCAATAGGCAAAGTTATCGCTGACTGCCTTTTTCCAATCTTCTGTTCATAACATTTTTTCCCCAATGATGTCAATGGCCTCCCTAATCTTCCGTTTCTTTGTGATTTCACTCTATGAGGCCCTTCTTTCTGTTGCCTTCGAATTGATCTCTTGTCAAATCTCTGCGATATGGTCTGCTATATCTGATCTTTCAGTGTCCATTTTCCTGCAGATCCTTTGAAGTTCCTTGATACTTATGTCGATTTTTTTCCTAGTTTCTCCAATGTATTTATGTTTGCAGACGTCGCATGCTATACAGTAAACTCCTGAGCAATCTAATTTATCTAATCTCTCATGCTGCGTGGGCAGACATGTGCATTGTTGTTTTTCCGTCGTGGTTACCTGAATATTCTATTTACTTAATATTGGCCGTAGTTTTTGAGTTAGTTCACAGGAAGAGAGAAATATCTATTTTTGTGAGTCTGTCTCTATCTTTATTTTTCTTTCATAATCTCCGTCCCGCCATCGGCTCTTCGCGGCCAATAGGTTTCTTTGAATAATTTCTCTTGGATAACCATTCCCGGGGAATATCAGAGTAAATATTTCCAATTCTTCATCCCAGAATTCCACGTAGGTTAATCGTAGGCTTCTGACGATCATGCTCCTCAGTATGCCTATCCACTTTCTGCAGTTGTGATGAGATCCGAAATGGAGTATTATTCCAGCATATGACTTCTATTGGTGCAATTTCCTTTGGGTATCCCAGTAGAGCGAATAACCTCCACATCTAAAAAGGCCAAATGCCTCTTCTTCTACATCCATTGTGAATGTGATTTTTTTTATCAACTTCGTCATAAATTTCAGGAAATCCCTCAACTTTTCTCTTTCATGCGACCATATTGCAAAATATTCATCCAGGTACCGCATAACAATTCTTGATT